TTTCTTTTTTTTGCCAACTCTGAAATTTGTTATCTAATTAAAAAAATTCACGATAAGTAAGCAATATGATACTAATATGTTGTTATTTATTACATTGAAATTCGTTATTATATTACCGCCGGTGAAATTTTTTTTTTTAGGTTATTTTCCTTTCCTTTGGTTGGTGTGTGTTTTTCTCCAAGTGAATGCAACTCACGTGGCGTGCGTCAGAAGGGTAGTGGCTTTCCGTTTTCCACTTTCCCGAGGCATTAAAAAAAAAATCTGGTCACACCAAACCTCGCAAACCAGAAAACGCGTTCCGCTGATGGTGGGCCCCCGCTACCATCCCAAGTTGCACGCTCAACGGTGACCCACACTTGTTTCTGTAGCCCACGCCTCCTCACGTTCTCGTTCGTCACCGCCATGTGGTATTGCGCCCTTTTTTTTTTTTTTTTTTAATTTAGGTGAAAACATTGTTTTGTATGGTTCTCAGATCAATCGCGCTAATAAACTTACCCCTATATTTGTTTATATTTTAAAGATAAATCTCTAGCTTGCTTGTTATAATTTTATCTGATTTTTAATTAGATTTTTATAAAAAAATCTTATCAGGTTTTTTATTTTTATGTATTTTTATTTAGGCCCTTTCATTTTTTTTCCTTATTAGTTCTTTATAATTTTACTTATTTTTTAATTAGGTCCTTTGTAGTTTTAAAAAAAATTTATTAACTTTATTCTTTAAATTTTATTTTATTTTTAAATTAATAATTATATAATTGGACAAAATAATTAACACAATCATTTAGTAATTAATAATTAATCATAATAATCAATTATACTTAACTATAAATTATTTATAATTATATTCTAATTTTAGAAAATTTATTATAATAATTTGAATTTTATAATTATAAAAATTAGAATTAAAAAATAAATAATATATATGTTTAACTAAAAATTTAAAAGAATATTAACATAAGATTGGTATAATAATTTATTATTTATAGAATAAAGAATAAATACTACAAGGACATAATTAAAAATAAAGTAAAATAATAAGGACCTGATAAAAAAAATTATAAGAACCTAATTAAAAACCGGTTGAAACTATAAAAGGTTATATATTAATTATTCCTATATCTTATATTTGTAAGTTCCTCCTGTTCAAGACTCTCCTCTGGAGTCAATTTCGATCGCCCTATTCATATTTTGAAAAGCTTGAAAGATGCCGCAAACCTATGCCGTGAAAGTAATGGAATTGAAATTCTTTTTCTTGACATCGAAGAGATGCGATTTGCCTTTTCCTTTTCTTCTCCACTACGTCACTTGCTTCTTTAATTATAATCCTCCTATCTTATTTATAAGTTTTAAATTTTAAAAGAACTTTATAAATTTTTATTTTGATTTGTTTTAATATTAATGTTTTTTAATTTTATTCCTAATCTCTATTTTTTGTCAGACTCTTTTTTACCATATTTTGTCATATTTTATATTTTGTTTATTATAAGGTTAAATTTAAAAGTAAAAATATATGTCTAACCTATTTATTATTTTAAATAATTATTTATTATTAATGAATTAATAAGCAGTGGAGGAGGTATTTCATATCCTATATTCGAAGTTTCGTCGATTTGTTTTTTGGACCAGAAGTTGCGACCATCTAAACCTTCATATATAAACGGGCAAACAAACCGCTCACAAATTCATATTCCGGAAAAATCGAGGCTCAGTTCGGTCAACAAATTTAACCAGCACACATCTGGGGTTAGGACTCAGGAGTGCAGGGAAAGGGCAGGGGCTTCTTTACTAAAATTAGCCTCGAACGAAATCCAAGACAAGTGCGTGTGAGTCACGTTCCAGGCTGATGCGGCTCAACAGCGGCCATCACCGCCCGTCAACCAAACACTCTCGATTTGGAGCGTGAGTCAAGCCGTGAAACATCTAAGGCAAATTCTGGCGCCGCAATTCAAGAGTTTGTCTCATTCCCAAACCCAAATCCCACGTTCTCTTGCAGTCTTGCTTAAGATCTCCGTCGTTTAAAAGGGCAAAAAAGGGGGCGGGCGGAGAAAAGCCGTCTTAACTCAACTACGGTCAACCGCGAACTACCAATGGTCAGTGTTCGACCTTGGATTCAACTGCCACGTTGTCATTAATCATTATACGCCACATCATTATTTGGGGTCCACCACGTCGACAATTCCTCTAGTTTCTTCCGCGTTTCATGCGTAACAATGACGTCACGACTTCGCAGCAGTTTCGTCGGCGGCTCCTCTGCTTTTTAGCTAATCCAACCCCTCCCGTGATTCCTTCTTGCATAACTCCTATCCTACCTAGGCATCCTTTTCTTGATTAATAATCAATGCACATTAACAAATACCAGCTCGTAACACTCTGTACATTAATTATTTAAAAAATTTAACCGTGTTGGAGTATACAGATTTTTTAAACCGCCGTCTCTCTTCTTATCGGTTATGCTTTTCTGATCTTATTTATAAAATACTGAAAATTTTTTTTGTATAGATATATAATTTTACTCTTTATTTATTATTGTGTTAACTTTGTTTATATGAGGTGTAATGTATATTAAATAGGAATAAAGTTGAAAAGTCATTAAATTTTAAATGAGAGTTAATGAAGTTTAAGGTTTTTTTACCTGCGTGAAACATGCTAAAAATATCTTATAAATAGGACTAGAAGGGTAATATTTTAGAATTTTTATTCTCAGTTAATTATGCATCTGTTTAATTTTTCTCTAATTTTTTCTTGTATTTTTCTCACAAGCCTAAATCATACTTTTTTTTTTTTAATGTGAACTGAAATAACATTACTTTAAACCGGTATTACACTTCAAACAGAGCGAAGACAGGGCCCAGCTAACAACCCTACATAGATACAAAAGACAAGCTATCCCTCTTTACTGTTTCAAAAGTAATTTTACAGTATATAAAATAAATATATAAAAGAGTTTGTCTCAATTTATAAAAAAATATTTTTCAAAAACACTTTTATGTAATGCTAAACACTCATCATACTTTCAAACTCTTATCTTTTGCTCTCTTTTTTTTTTAATTTTCTCTCCCAACTACCTATTTCATAAATAAAAATGTTTTAAAAAATAAAGTAATATTCAATATTCTAATATTACTCCCTTCGTCTCTTTTTATAAGTAACAACTACCATTTTCCTCTTATCTTTAAAAATAAATAATATTTATAAGTTGTCTTAAATTTTTGTAACAAATTTCTTATTTTGTCCCAATTAATTACTTATCTTGATACCTAGTATGTTTACCATTTTATTTCTCAAATCATCATCTCTCTTAGGGGGAAAAACCATTATCTCTCTCTATCCATATTCTCTCTCTTTCATAATTTTCTTGTTATAATAATTTTCTTATACTCTCTGTCCCTTGTAAATAAGGACATTTTAGAGGAAAAACTTTCAATTTATACTTATTTACTGTCTTTAACTGACTTTTGTGATCCACGTGATAGAGTTTAGAGTTATTTATAAAGAGAAACAGATAGAGTATTTTTCAGGTGCACTTAACAATATAATTATCCCTTATAAAAAAATTAAAAGATGTTTCACTTAAAATTGATCAAGCTTAAATAAAAATCCAGTGCTGGGTTAAGGAAATACTATGATTAATGTGTTGGAAATACCTCAAATAACCTTCCTTACATTTTAGGACACAAGACACTTATAAGTATTTAAAATTACTTATAAGTATGTTTTATATTCTTCCGGTCCTAAATATAATACTTATTTTGTAGTGTAAAATTATAGTACAAAAGGGATATTATATTTAAGACCAGAAGACTACAAGTCAGGACAATTTTTTAAATATATTTATTTTATATTTCACAAATCACAATGAAAAACGGGTTAAAAGCCATCACAAACGTCCCTTGACAGTGCAAATCCCTTTCTCCATAAGAAGGAAGCTACACGCATCACATTTGGTTGCAGCATATGGCACCAGCATACTTTTTAATATGAAGAGATATGAGGTGCTATTGAATAAGATATTGTTGGCAAACCAATCCAGATTTAGACTAGGATAATTTGCATAACAACTGGCTTTCACTCGTCCCACTTTATCTAGAGACTTCTGTGATGCGTGAAGGCCTATCGCATGAAGCTCCCAAATTAGTCCCCGCTGACTTTGTTTCCCCTTTTAAAATCCAACGGCGCACCCGTATCATGGTTTATCGCGGTACAAAATTAAGTGCTTCCATTATCACAAACTCATATTTCATATTATACTATTGGCACCACTTCAAGCTGCCTTCGCTCCCTGATTATCACAACACAGCATTCCCTACTTTTTTTTTAAATAAAAAATGACCTGATTTGGTATGCGCGAATTAATTTAAATGTATAGATCACACATCACAGGCCGGCTAACCCACTAATTCGGACAAAAACAAATGAAAACGGCCCTCCACTTATCGTTTTGCGCACTGCGATGCCCCCTCGCTCATAGGATTATATTATCTCCCTGTCATCTAATCTATAAATCTGACATTAATCTCATCCCAACATACACAAAACATTTGAAAAATCTTAATCGTGTGAAAACTATTAAAACCAAATTGCTTTGATTCGAGCGATGCGGCGCAGCCGAGCAGCGCCAAAAGTAAACAAACTGTAAAGTTGAAAAAAGAAAAAGGCCCGGTGGGGTAAAGATCTACTCCGACAAGAGTAGTTGGTGTGAACGCGCAAAATGGTCAACAGACCCCAAAACAAATGACGACCAGAAAAGATACCGACATCTGCCGGTTCCGAAAGGGCACGTGTCGGCTGATCTCAAGAGGTCCGGTTCGTGTCATCATCTGATTGGTAGACATCTCAATCAATTTGAAGATGCCTTGCGTCACGACGATTTTGGGCTCAAACTAACCCGCGGGTAGAATTTGCGAGCGCGATAATTTGAGATGAAAGTAAGTGAGCAGAAGCGATAACAAAGGTGGCAGGCCATTATATAAAGGAGTGGGTGTGAGGAGGGCAAGAGCCAAGAGCGGCTGAGAGGTTACCACTCAAATTATTTTTCCTTTTTTCTCCTGAGAGCAGCTCACTATCTGTGCTATTTCCTGATCTTTCTCTAATCTTCATCTCATCTCTCCCCCCTTCTGTAACGCCCCGCTTCTCTGAATCCCTTTCTGTTAATCATCTGTCTTTCAAGTTATGATTTTTGGGTTTGTCTTTTAGTTCACGAAGAAGCAAACTTAGAAGGATTTCTCGAAAGCCAGGTGTTTTCAGAATCGAGATCCAGGTTTTTTTTTTTCACACCTTTTGGGACTTTCAGTTTTTTCTTTCTGAATTTCTGGAATTTTCCTCATCTTTCAATTGGCTACGAGGGTTGTTTTTGATCCCTCAAAGCTTTGGTTTTTTTTCTTTAATTGCTTGGGATTATAGGGGTTGGGTATTTTTGACCTCTCCTGTCCCTCTTTGTAGAAAATATTTTCTCTCTTGCTTGGTTGGTTTTAATTTTTCTGTCTGCAACCAGTGCCTGTTCTTTAGTTTTTTGTGAGACGCAGGTTGATTTTAGCTTTTAGATCTGTGGAAGTCATGGCAGCTACAATGGATTTCTACAGTAGCAGACCACTCCAGTCAGATCCTTTCAGGGGTGAGTTGATGGAAGTGCTTGAACCTTTTATGAAAAGTCCTTCCACAACTCCCTCTCCTTCCGCAGACTCATCCCCTTGTTCAAATTCCTCTCTACCTTCTACATCCTACTCTCCTCCTTCCCCCAACTCTTTCTTTTCTTCCCCATCAGTACCTTCACAGCCCAGTTTTCTGGCAGACGGTTGCTCCACGTCGATGACCCCTATATTTAGCGATGGGTTATCGAACAGCCTCAACACAATGGGTTTCGGGCAACCAAGCTCCGTTCTTGGGCTCAACCACCTAACCCCATCTCAGATTTACCAGATCCAAGCCCAGATCCAGCTCCAGAACCATCAAAACCCGTGTTGGCAGCAAAATAGTGCCAGCACCACCCTTGGCTTCTTGAGTCCCAAACCTATTCCCATGAAGCATACGGGTGTACCTCCCAAACCCACGAAACTCTACAGAGGTGTCAGGCAGCGTCACTGGGGAAAGTGGGTCGCCGAGATCAGGCTCCCTAAGAACCGCACTCGACTTTGGCTCGGTACCTTTGACACGGCCGAGGAAGCCGCCCTAGCCTATGACAAGGCTGCTTACAAGCTCAGAGGTGACTTTGCCAGGCTCAACTTTCCCAACCTTCGACACCAAGGTTCTTGCGTCGGCGGCGAGTTCGGGGAGTACAAGCCACTCCATTCCTCTGTTGACGCCAAGCTTCAAGCAATATGCGAAAGTTTGGCCGATCTTCAGAGTCAGGGGAAGTCCGGGAAGTTGACGAGCTCATCCAAGAGGTCAGGGGGGCGGTCGAAAGCGGGTTCGAAAGATTCAAAGCCGGTGGCCAGCGAAGCCGGTGTGAAGGTGGAAAGCTCCTCGTCGCCGGCGACGACGGAGAGCGAGGGATCCGGCAGTTCTTCTCCCCTGTCTGATTTGACTTTTGCGGACGGGAGCGAGCCTCAGTGGGACGGGGTTCTGGATAATCTGAATCTGCAAAAGTACCCTTCTTACGAGATTGATTGGGCATCTCTGTGAGGGCATACATATGGTTCTAGTGCATGTGTTATATGTAATCTTGAGTTTAATTCTAGTTCAGAGTCGTATCATGCATAGTCATTAGGTGTTAGGGAGGCCGTTGCAGTGGAATTTTAGACATTGCGGGCTACTCTTATGATTTGAATCAGTGTTAGTTGCGGTTCTGTCAATATGATGTAATGTCTACCGCGGGGAGCCGGTTTTTTCTCGCTTGCCCGTGGGGGAGGAGTATATCTCCTGCTAGGTCCTAGGTGTTTATCATTGTAATTTGACTCTTTTATGGTATTTCGTCTATATTTGTGTTTCGTGTTTGTGGATATGAATTGTGTGCGCGAGCTGTGCAGCTTGCATTGAGAAATCAAATCAGGGGATTATCGTTGTGTGTGAGTCAGTAAATTGCAAAAAGCTGCAAATCCGCCTGCGAGAGTGAAGAAAAGTGGGGGACGGCGAGGAACAGTAGCATAGGAGCGAGACATGCTTATTTATGCCTCTGTGATCAAGGCAGAACGAAATTAAAATCCTTGTTGAGAGATTCCTGTCTTATGAATAATCGAAGATATGAAAGAACTTAGCTATTGGTTACTAGAAATATGAACAGATCGAATCGGGGGATAAATTTTCTCAAATATTGGAACATGTAGCTGTAGAAGTGATAGACGGAGACAGAAATGATTTGTTTCGGTTTTACTGCAAGCTATCAAGTAAAAACAGTCTTCTAAAATTATAACGAGATGAACAAATGAGATGAACAGAGAAAAGGGTGGAGGGGAGATCCCATGGCGGGGGAAACAGGTCACTCAATTATTGGGCGGAGAGGGGGAGGATGGATCGGAGAGCACTCATCAAATCTGGACGTTTGAGATTTAATTTTAATTTTTTTAAAAATAATTATTTTAATAAGTATAGAATAAAAAATAAAGATAATCTTCTAACTATCATTTTTTTAAAATATATATATTTTATTTTAAAATATTAAATCTGGACCGTCCAGATCTAATCTAGACGGTCTAGATAACTCATCAGGTGATCCAGATCTAATCTGGATGGTCTAGATAACTCATCAGGCTTGTCACCTGATGAGTACTGTGATGAGCACTGTATACGGACCTAGATGCATGGGCATCGAAATTGGAAAGCAGTGTTAGTAATTATTGTTTGGTAGTGGGAGATTGTGATTTGCTTGTTTGATTGGAATTCACGCTTATCAACAACTGTTGAATGTTGACGTTGCTCTCTCCATCCCAATAATGATGCCCTGAGACTCAGGTGAAAAACCAAACCCATCGCTTCGCATTCAATGTATCTGCCTCCACAGCCCCTCCCTCCGTCACATTCCTTCATTTCATCCTGCAATAATTTTCTTTGTATATATCTTTTTGCAAATTATATTAGTTTCTTAGAATAAAAGTTGCACATGCTGTACATCGAAGTCACGAGGGGTGTCTTCTCTTGAATTATTTGGATAACAAATGCGTGGTGGATGATGAAAACGATCTTATGGAAGAAGCGTCGCCATTCCATTTCAAGATTTGATCCCTTCAAAGATTCCAGAGAGGAACCAAACATGCGTTTCGCTTTCCTGTTAGAAATTTTGGATAAGAAGATGGCGTCTACCAGGGTTAGGTTTTGCAATTTTCTGACCTTAAAACACAACCCACAATCGGCCACCTTCCCCCGAATATTATGCCTCTATCCCTTCACTAATATTTTTCTGTTTTTAATATAAAACCGGATTATTAAGTTAATTTTAGTCTTAAATATAAAACTTATTTGTCATATTATTAATTTTTTAAAATTATCTCTATGAATATCCCTCGACTATAATCAAATAAGTGAGGGAGGAAGGATATTAAGAGATGATTATGATGTTTTAAAAAAAATGTCATATTTCTTATAATTAACTAATTTACATAACTTTCTTAATTTAATTAAATTAGTTAAATAGGTCTTATATTAAAAATCAAATGAGTATTATACATCATTATTTCACAAAATTCAATTTTTAGTTGCCTTCTGGAAAGAATTCTTTTAAAGCAACACTTGGGGCAGCATGCCATGGCAAATTAGTTTCGCCTGCTTGCAAAAGAAGACTAGATCCGGATATGGTTTTGGTAAAATACCATCAAATTAGAAACCATCAGATTCTTGTCGTGGCAGCATTCGTTAAGTATAAAATTGCAAATAGCAAGCTAATAAACTTATAGTCCAGTGACATGAAAATTTCTCTATAAAAAAGAGGTTATGGCATTTACCTCTTCTATAACTTTAGGCCATAAATACTTGCATCTTTAATTTTAAAAATGCAAATAACGAACCGGGGATGGCCCAATACGAGATCTTGCATACGAGGATATGCAGCTTTTTTCGCTTTCTTCATGTTCTTTCTTATCCCGCATGGATTCTTTTTGAGAAATCAGAATCCCTTCCCTGAGGATATCTAAATTAAATCAAAAGTAGGAGAAGCATGAAGAACCATTGACCGTGGAGACAATAGAAGGGCAAGGACCGTTAACTTTATAAATAAGATAGTATAAGTTGCAAATAGTCGTTTTAAAGCATAACTATTATTTGGCCAAAAAAAAAAAAGCATAACCATTATTATTGGATAACCTATTTGTCACTCCTAAAGAAAAAGGTGGAAAAGTCCGCATTCTTTCTTTCAGATAGAATGGGATAAATTCCTCATGACTGACTTATTTATCATTCTTCCAAAGCAATCACCAGTGATGCAAGAGCGTGCCTGCGCAAAAAAAAAAGAAAAAAAAAGAAAGATTCTTTATATATTTATATACTCCAGAGTCCCTTCCGTCAATGCCTTTCCAGATCCTTCCTTACCTCGACCAATTTTACAAGCTACAAACGGAGAAGTGAAAATCCCGTCAACAAGGTGTTGATGACATATATTGAAAACGGAGTAATACGAGGATCAAGCTTGAAATCTACACTACCTCCGCGTTTAATACTATCTCTTACAAATATAAAAATTAGTTGACTAATTTAAGTAAATTAAGAAAATAAATTATATTTGTTATTTGTTATAAATAGATATTGTATTTTCTAAAATATCCTTACTAATTAAGTGTATTGGTTAGAATTACTATTATTAGATAGACTACCTTAGAAAAAAAATAAATAAATGTAAAAAACAAAACGGATTGAGATGCTATATTTAGGATCAAAATAAAAATCAAACAAGGTCTTATATTAATGACTGGAAGTAGTATAAGAATTCCTTTAATTTTAATTTTGATCCTAAATATAAAATCTCAAATCACTTTATTTATCATATTTATCTATTTTTTCTCAAGATAGTTCTTGTAATAATAATAATTCTAATTAATATACTTGATTAGCAAACATATTTAAGCAAAAAAATATTTATTTATTATAAATAACTAATTTAACTAATTTTTTTAATCTATTTAAATTAATTAATTAGTTTTTATACTAACTAACGAGCAGAAGCAGCACGTCATGGTCTCTCACCCCGTTTCATAGGGCACAAGTCTATGGAAGTGGGAGTGCTGGTAGACGTAAAAGTTTAGGGGCGTCTGGTTTAAGAGAAATGGACTTCCATTTAAAAAAAAAAAAAAGAAAGGGAAAAAAAATAACGGAAGTGGATCACTTCCGTGCAAGCTAATTTTTTAGACCATCATGCCCTTCACATGATAAACATATGGGGCAATCAATAGCAGTGATTTCTGTGGTGGCTTGCGGTGTTGATCTTCCAGGAGAGAGATCGGGATTTCTGTGGTGGCGGTGCTTTCTATGTTGGCCGGCAAAGGCGAGGGATCGCCGCTTGGGATTCTGCTCTGTCATCGTCTGCTCCGCCATCTTCTTTCTGGAGTGCTGTGACTTTGGGGGGGGTGGGGTCCTTCGTAGGAAGGGTACAATGGTCATTTGATATTAAAAGTAAACATATTAATGCAAAATTATATGCTTCTAAAATCTTCCACCAAAGGGCAAACAGATTTTTAAGCCCCATTTCCAATTTCACTTTCTTCAAAAGCACTTCCACGATACCAAACGGAGCGATGAGTTTTCCACATACCGGCGAGTTTGGGATGCGTTGAACTTCATCAAGCCAAACTATCCTAGTAAATTAGTTATTTGTAATGAATAAGTACTGCTTCCGGTTCTTAATATAAGACTCTGTTTGATTTTTATTTTGGTTCTAAATATAAGATCCCAATCCACCTTGTCTCTCATATTTATATATTTTTTTTTTCAAAGTAACCCATCTAATAATGATAGTTCTAGTTAATACACTTGATTAGTAAGAATATTTTATGAAAGATAACACCTATTTAAGACAATTAACTAACTCAACTTACTTCCTTAATCTCCTCAAATTAGTCAACTGGCTCTTATAATTAGGACCGGAGGTAGTATTGTTTTTCTTAAAATATTCTTGCTAATCAAATTTATTGGTTATAACTATTATTATTAGAATAACTATCTTGAAAAAAATAGATAAATATGAAAAATAAAGTAAATTTTGATCTTATATTTAGAATTAAAATAAAAATCAAACAAAATCTTATATTAAGAACATGAGTTAGCAGTACCCTGTAGGTTTGGTATGTTTCTCCAAAGAACAATCTTTGAATTCTCGGGGCAAATAACAAATCGCCCCAAATTAATTTTACCTCTTCCAAATTGGCTTCCTAGTGTAGGACACATGTTTTATACGCAGACCTGGACCTTCTGAAATTAGTTGTATAAAAATAACTTAAGGCAACCATAAATCTTATCTTGCCTGTACTCTTGCAACGCTTAAAAAATTTGAGCCCCATGTAATTGAAAATTAACTATGGGCTGCAGCCCAATTCCCGTGACACGATATTAAAAACACATGAAGTCGCTTCGCAAACCCCTAACGTGATTAGAGAATAGCTGCCTTCGGAGAAAAGACAGAGAACTTAAATATTTTCGGTTAAATTAAACCTTTTCATTTTAGAATTTTAAACTCACCAAGATAAACCATTAAATTGGAAATGCCACTCATGAATCATGACAAGGTATGTATCATAACACAACACGCAGCAGCAAAGTCATCTTCAGTTGAGTGATTCTCGTTTTGATTACATTATCCCTGACAAGATTTCATTTCAAGCCCTTCTGGAATTTAATTCTGCCATATATGATTATCCTCTGGCCGTCTATAATCCAGAATAAAGATGTAATATTCACATCATTAAAGCTGTTTCAGAAAGTGAATGTTGAGGCATTTGCTGCCCATGTATGATCCAGCATTTTAACCTCAGACAACAGATCTATTGGCAAAAACCTTTCGTTGAATTTGAAAGAACTCGGGCAAAACCAAAAGAGAATTTCATTCAATAGCCGATCTTCTCCCCAACAGATCAATCTCCTGGAATCCTTTCAGCGGAAACTAATCAAATAACGCCAGTTCAACCTACAATAGACCAATTATCAGCTGAATTTGCCAATTTCCATCTTCTTCTTGATTGCCTTTTGACCATGGTAGACAAACGAATCCAGTATTCCAGAGACCGTGAAAACACCTGTATTCAGCAACAGACAGGTAATATGGGTGCCACAGATTAAAAAACTGAGTAAAATTCCATCTTGAATTCATCTAAGCAGGGCAAGAAAGAAGGTGAGTGCTGTAAGTGGAGGATTAATCTATACCTCCAACTATGGCGCACACGTTAGTGAGGAAGTGTAAGAATGAGATATGTTCTTCAGTAAAAGTAACCTGAAATATAGAACTCGTATATACAATGAGAATCCATATAAAGAGAAGTATAATGAGAACAAGCACATGGAAAACACCCTCATGCAAAAACATAATAGCATATTTTTCTGTCTATTCAGTATTTTAACATTGAAAATTCATAATAAATAGCATCACCTTAATTGGCGAAAGGTCATAGAAGAAGAAAACTCCAGGAAGGGACTGAAGACGCCCTACATCTCCAGTCCTCAAGTGTTCTGTCACAGAAAACTGCAAAACCACTTCTAGTCATAAAATGTCGCGCTCGATAGCATACAAAATAATGTCATAAAGAGATCTGTCAGTTTATGAACCTGGTTTGATTGGATTGCATGCCCGTTCACATCAGTGTATACAGTCGGCACAACCTAACAAAAGAACAAACAGCAAAGCTTTGGTATCCAATTATTATCTCCTGAATCAATTACATCTCTTGCAAAGGGAAGGAAAATGCCAAATTGAATAGCTCAACACACAATATATTGAGAAAAAAAATGGAAAAGCTCCGCAATGAACTGAGGAATGTAGCACAAGAGTCAAGACGTTTAACCCAAAAGCCTACAAAGTTAGGAGTATTCATATGTGGCATACTTTCCAAACCATTCTTCAAAAGGAAATAGTAGATATTACAACATCTAGTAAGAAAATCAAACTGGTCTCCCCATCTTAAAATGCTTCTGGTTACCCTCCTATTTTGGAGGGAACAGGACCATGCTTTTCAGCAGTTCAGCACCATTGAATTGACTAAAAACGCCATTGAGCGCATCAAGCCCTGAATGCAGCCGTCCATATAGGATGTGCCCCAAAAAGGATGATGGAAGAGGGTCTATTGAGAAACTGGAGATGTTAGAGAGAGTGACATAGCTGAAGTGGGTCAGGTGTGACCCCAAACCACTTGCAAGGGCCAAGGGGAAGTAAAAAAGGTTTAGAGTTGGAAAGGCTATTATAGGGTTTAAGAGAGTTGAAGCTTGGCTCAATGGAAGAGACTATCTTGGTTCAGAGAGAAAGAGACGAGAGATGAATGACGGTGCAATAGAACAGGAGCTTCTTAGTGTTTGATTTCTCAATTTTAATGGGGAAAAAAACTATTATGCATTCCTTCAGGACGTGGCACGCTCAATACTATTTGGTCAATGCAATGGTGCTGATTTGTTAAGAAAGATGATCATGTTCCCTCCAAAAAAGGAGATCTCAATGCTCATAAACGTACGGCAGACAAGTGAAACTATCAAAAAGAGGATATTGAATATTGGTCAACCTAGAGATGTGTAAACATAACAGAAGACATTACTAAAGTCAAGCTTCGAGCAAGACACATGCTGCTTTGCAATAAAATGCCAGGTTTAGAAATTATACAATACATCTATACCAAAACATAAAACAAAATAAAGAAAGAAATTATAGAATACATAGAGCATCTAGTTAGGTGTGAAGACATGTATATGCAATGACAAATCATAAGACGAAAATTCATATGAACAATAGTGATTTTTATCAAAAGGTTTTTAGATAATTAACAGTAAGAGATAACCACTGACAGAAGCCATAACCATTCATCCACATTTCCTTTTAAAATATAAAACAAAGTGACAGGAGGATAACTATAAATCAGATGAACTGAAAAGTAACTTAACCAAAAGAAATTACAATTTTTTATTTATTCAACAGTACCACAGTTGTCATACTTCGTTTGATAAGTACTTGATATAGGTAGTGTGTAGTATGCTGGAAATTTGGGTAGCTAACCTTTATAAAATACTGATACATTCCACTCGGTGTTTGTTGGGTCCAATGCACACTGATAATTGAGAAAACATCAGAATTTATTAAACATTCAAGTATGACAGGGTGACTGGACTTTGGGGCAATAGGAACAACCAAAAATACCCACCCATCAAGAGGATTCACAACACCAGGGAAATACTCTCCAAACGTTAATCTGTTAATTTGGTGACTTATCTGTATCACATTCATAAACAAATAAGAGGCCTCGTAGGATGGAGCACAACAGAGAAAAGTCACAAGGAAAAAGAATAAGGAAAACAAAAGCCACCAAGTTAATGGATACTTATTAAGTCATAAAATATAAAAAACAAATGATGGCTATTTGTACTAAGTTAACCCAAAAAAAAAAAAGGGAGTCAAAAGCAATGAATAAGGTTGTACATTAAATGAGTCCTTTTGAAAAGCAAGCAGGTCATGCACGTGGACACCGGATTGCTGAAAGCTCTTCCCTGGGGCAAAATGGAAATTTCCAGCCACTTTATTTACTTCCAAGAATCCATAGACATTACAACCTTCACCTTCTTCATCCTTGATCCTTTGCAAGAATCCTTCTCTTTTGCACTAAACATGATCAAACATATAACAAAGCTAACATCAAATAACTCAACTAACTCAACTATAACAGATGAATATTTTTTTCCAATTTTAGATCACTGGTATTATCCAACCACAGATTTAAGAGTTTTTTTTACGCATATCGAAGGGGTTGGAAAAGGAGGGGGCACAGAGAAGATCAAGATTTCAAAATGATCAAAGAAAGTTCACAACGTATGAATCACAATGAAGACATTGAAAAATCATGGTAGTCAATCAAAACATGCAAAATCGGTGAGTAAATATAAGCAACATTGGCTATTTTCCAACAATAAAATAATTATTATGGACAGAATGAATCTGATGAGATAAAATTTACTCTCCTACAACAGAAACAGCAGTAAACTGAAACCAATTCAATGCATCCCATGTTACATGTAGCAGAGCATAGTAATTGAAACCAGTTTCAGCAACAGCATCATAAGAATGGCCCATATGGTTCAGAAATAAGAAACTTTGGCATCTCATAATTTCATAACCATTTAAGGTATATATATTTAGTCTGAACAACTATCGAGCTCAAAAAGGAGCTAGGTGACTCCTAACACAGAAAATGAGGATTTGGGCCTGTTTGTAAAATATTACAAAACTGAGAAGCTTACTTTAGCCAGAAAAACCTAAAAAGTAACCACACATGTATTGGCCAACAAATCTATTCTAAGGTTTCCGGGACAGTCATTAAATTGAAAGCCAATCAGTCAAATTAACAGACCTGGTCAATTAAATCTGGATTTGATATTGCCCAACCTTTTTTTCGGTAAGCTTCGCGAACTTCCTCACAGGAATTGCAACAATCCTCATCTGTCTGTAAAATACAATCATGGAACACAAGCTTCGTAAGCATAAAAAATGTGACTGCAGGAGCATTTCAGTTAAAGAAATTTATCAAAAAGAAACCTACAATGGAAAAATTTAGCAAACATAGTAAAAGATCCCTACATACCACTTCAGCACCATAACAGGAGCCACAATATGTTTCATTATGCTCCAGCCTGCCTCCATGTCTTTGCAAAGGCTTCTCAATCTGTGCAAATAATAGTAGTAAGCATAATGTGCAAGGAAAGCAGAAAAGGATGGTAGAACTTCTATCATAAGCTTTAAAATGTTCTAGCTGAAACACCAAGAGTTGGCCATAGAAGACAAGAAAAGCATATAAAAAGAGAAGCCCTTATAATTAAATGACTAGTTGCATAAACTCCTACTTTAAAGAGATCAATTCAATCCAGACATTTCTAAGCAAAATCAGGTCTTAATTATATCAGATCAGATTAACTCCAACTGGTAAAAAAAAAAAAAGTGAAAATGAAAATAAGAAATCGGCATATCATACACAAAATGAACTAAAATAAAAAGGTATTTGAAGAGAAAATTGGCTCCAAAAATCCATATGATTTACCTTGGGGGCACCAATCCCTTCCTGCCTTGTTTCTATTACATTCCCATGAGAGTCTAATCTTTTCTTGACAATATCATGTTTCTGAGTGTCGGGAAAAAACGTAAACAGTATTGTCAGAACTTGATTAACAAGCACAACAAGCACAAGGTGAAAAATATCAGATACCTTCTGTTCAATGCCCTCAAGAAAATTAAAGAAAAAAACAATGAAGAGTAAAAATTAATTAGAATACGTACTACATCTAGATGTTGCTCTCCGCTGATGTCCATAGCATCTAGACTGAGTATTGAACAAGGTAGGGCAGGAAAAGTAACATCAAACTGCAGTTTCAACAGCAGGTTGACTGAAATCAATTATATCCTGTTGCAAGCTTATGCATACCAAAGTAGCAAAGGATGGAACCAGCGTATAACCCATGGCATTGCAAGATATAGTACACTATATAATAAAAACCTCAGTTTCCGAAGGTAAAAAGAACACTCAACCGAATAAAAAAAATCTTGAAGGCAGCTCCAAAGGTGCAAGATTGGTTAAGAATGAGAAATATGGCAAAAAACATCATCGTTCAATGAGAAACCCAAAATTCTAAAAGGCTATCAAGTAATTCCATGAAAGAGACAAGATTACGTTGATACGTAGCGTCTCTCCTCTTGAAGTATCTACAACTAGTTTGGTCTCAGTTACCGCATGGAGATACAATCCTGGACCAACGAGAAACACAAAGTATAAGCGCATCATGAGCATAACCAGCCACAAGAGGAATAAACAAGAATGAGAAAATTAAAGAAAATGAACTATACACTATTAAGGATGGTAAAGGATATATCTTCCGCATAATGGCACTTCATTGTTCATTTGAAATTCAGAAATGTCAAGAACTTAAACTCAATTAACAACACTCTTCGACTTGGGTGCATAAAATCAAAATAAGTGATAATACAACTAAAAGTTGGTCGCTCCAAATGTCAGCCAAACCAAGATGGAAAAATTCGTTTGTGATTAGTTAAATATTTTTTATGGCTATATATTTAGCTTAATTAATCTTTAAAAAAAAAAAAACAAATTGATCCTAAACCGTATTTTAAGAAGGTCCCACGATAACTTTGTTAGAGCTGAATTCTAAACTATCCAGCAAAAGGGGTTCAAGGTCATCGGCAAAAATATGACTCACAAACTCAAAAAAGAAACCATCCTCGGAGCCAAAAAAACTGAAGGCCGTATCCATCCTTATTTGTTCTGACATGCATTTGAATGGAGCAAGCTAATAATAGATCGAAAATAAGAATCATGGATCAGCTTGCGTGTCACCCAATGTCCTAGCTGAAAAAATGCATTCTAGCTACAGGTAGACTCAGGATCAATGTAACCCTGAATGCCATTTCTTCTTAATGAAACAAGCAAGATACTAAAAATCTAGAATTCGACCACCAACGCAGAAATCAAACCCAGCAGACTGTGTCTCCCTTTTTCTTTGGAGGGGGGAGGGAGGGGCGCTCTATTCATGTTCAGAAGTCACAAACAAAGTGAAAAAGGCACTGCAACAAAAGCAATAAGCAGAAACGCCTGGATTCAACCAAGAACGAGAGAGAGGTGAAAATATAAAAAAGGGCGGGGGGAGGCGTACGAAGCTCGGATATGAAAAGCAAAAGCATGAGGACGGAGGAGGCAATAGTGATGAGGCCTCCGGAGAGGGTGCGGCTGTAGAAATCCTCGTTGATTTTAGGGTAGGCATCCAGATTTCGGAGCCTGCTCATTATGGAGTCCATGATTCCCCGACCGATCCGCGGACAAGAAATTCCTTCTCAGCGGAGATTTATCTATCTAAGAACCTAAATCTATTTAGAAATTAAAAACCAGAACCTAACAACAGGTTATGATAATTCTATAAACACCCCGTAGGATTGAATTCCTTCGTCTTCACAATTTTAACAGGGTGTTTATCATCGAATCATCGATGTCCCGACCCTGTTCCCCTTTATTATTCTCGCTGAGGGCGTCCGGTGTGTCAGTCAATAAATTCCTATTGATTAAATTAATTAACAACAATTTTACAGGAAAACATAAAAAAAACATCCAAGTATGTTTCTTATTTTGCAGGAGATCAATGAGACGTTTGGATGAACTCAAAAATATTATTAAAAAAATATTTTTATATAAATTGAAATAAAACTTTTACATTGATGACCTTTTACTTTTCTCAAAAGATGAGATTCTCTAAACTTTTATTAACCCAAGTTCAGAGAAATAATTAAAAAATATGGGATTAAGCTGTCGGCAAAGAAAGGAAGATACCCAATTGCCAAAATCCTGTTTGAGATCAAATTTGAAAAATATTTTTGCATCTCTAAAATGTAATGCATTCTGAAAATGGTCAGTATTATCCTAGACCACACGTTACAGAAGAATTGTAAAATTATAATTTGTTTTTTAATCCAAACATATCCTAAAATAAAGGCATAACATGAATTTTGGATTTGGGAAAGTCAATCGGATCCTTTGACCTCCTCCCCTGAGAGGATCCGATTGAGCTTCCAAAATCCAAACCAAGGGAAGACCGTAATAGCAAACGCGGGATCAACTTCAAAACACCCTCCTTCTCTCTTGCTGGTGAGAGTTTCCATCTTTTCAGCAATTTGGGCCCCCGATTTGTTTTTTTGTAACTTAATCATGCCTTCGGGCCTTTCGCTCTTTGATTCCGGACCAAGGCCTTTTTATTTTCATAATATACTATCTCTTGTCTTAATTATAAAATCTCACTTATAATCTATAAATAAGATCTTATAATTAAGACTGGAGATAGTATAAAAATTAATTAACTAATTTAAATAAATTAAATAATTTAATTAATTTAATTATTTGTAATAAATATTTATTATTTTTTTTAAAATACTCTTATTAATAAGATGTATTAGTTATAACTACTATTTAATAAAACTTTTAATATATGTAACTATTACAAGAATTACGTTAAGAAATAAAAAATATGAAAAATAAGTAGATTTGAATTTTATATTGAAAACTAAATTGAGCGTTGAACTAATTTAAGAATTGAAATTAGTAATTTTTTGACAATATCATATCAAATTTTTTCCTGGTAAAACAATCATTTTAACGTGAAGGGAATCATTAAAAATTAAAAGTATGAAGCCTTTGGGTAAAAATGCCAAGCTCCTCTCAATCAAATTGAGCGATCTAAGAAAAAAATAACTCCGTTTATAGTTTATGCCTGAGAACATGCCGGAGGCCACTTTCCCTTTGGAAACCTCCGCCCGCCGCCACTTCTAATGCCCATTGAGGCATGAAAGCTTGGGCTTATCTTGAAGCAGAAAGTGCGTTAATGGGAACTCACGAGGTCTTTTCATCGTTCGAGTTTTTAAAGGCAGCATTCACAATGTCAGGCAAGTTTTAATCTCCCGCGGCCCCTTGACTCCGTTTCGTTTGGAAATAGCTTCCAAAATGTCCAAGGGCCTCCTCTCCTTGTTTCGCAATAGTTCTCTGCATTCTCATGACTTTCCAGGCTCGACAACATTCTGAGACCCAAAATCAAAATTTTCCTGGACTTAGGCTTTACCCCTGCTGATACGGCCGATATTGTATCTAATGACCCGTTTCTTCTCAGGCGGAGCGCCGAAAATCGTCTCGGGCCGTCACTCACGGTGTTTTTGAATATTTTGGGTTCAGTCGAAGAAGTTCGTAGGCTCCTAAAGGCATCTAGTTGGTTTCTGAAACATGATTTAGGGAAGATTATGTTGCCTAATATTGGATACTTGGAAGTACTGGCATATGCTCTTCACAAACTGTAAGGTACTTATTCAACTTCCCAAGGTTTTTTCTGCTTAAACCTGAGAGCATATCGGCATACGTTAGCAGGGTAGATGAAATGGGCTTTGATAGGAAATCTAGTATGTTTCTACCTGCAAAACGCGTAATAAGTTCAATGTCTTCAGAGAGATGGCATCTGAAACTGAACGTGTTCCGGAGCTTGGGGCTTTCTCAAAATGATATTCTAGTTCTGTTTAGGAGGTCGCCCCCGGTATTTGCTATATCCACAAGGAAAATTCAGGAGGTGACGGAGCTGCTACTTAGTTCGGGAAGGTGCGATATGTCATGTATAGTTTTGAACCCAGTGTTGCTTTTATGCAGCGTTGAACGCAGGCTGAAACCTCGACTGCAAATTATAGATATCTTGGAAAAAAAAATTACTTCGGGAGAGACCCCCTTTGACTACAATCTGTAGACTTTCCGAACAAAAATTTTCGGAGAAGCATCTGTCACCTTATTCACTAAAAGAACTAAATGCCAACCAAACGTTTAGATCGACTGATTGGGGTCGTTTTACTTTAACCAAGGTCATGGGTTCGATCCCATTTGAAAACGCAACAGCGTTTGTGGTAGGCAAGCTGTCTTTGGGATTCCACAAAGTGCCATTCCGAATTAGTTTGTGCCGGTTGATGTGTCTGGAAGATGGTCTTGGCTCAAGATAACAGGGGAAGAAATTAAAAAAAAAAGAACTAAACGCGAGTGTTGGGAGCTCATGAATGATCTCATAGCTTCAGTTGGGTTCTAGTGGAGATGAATGACATTTTGAACAAGATTAGATGTTGATCCGCTACCACTGACAGGAAGTTTTGGTGCGTCATGCATTGATATTCTTTTGTAATTTATTCTTTAAAGCACTTTTCACTGGTGAATGACTTTCAGTATACGTTTCATTTTGGATTTTTCTCAAATTACGTTGTTGAGTAAACTGTAACAGTGTAATCAGATATCTGAAATTATTCAGGTTATTGCTTCAATTTGTCATAAAGTATCCCGTCTACCTGACAATAATTTATTGTATCAACAAATTAAAATCGGAACCGTGATGACAATTCTATATGTGGAGAATTAAAATCAAAAGGTATCCATATATTGCTCTTTTCCTGATTAACTGTGCTGGTGAGCAGTTTCAATCCTGGTAATACTTGGCTTCTTATATCCTGAGAGTTTCCCAGCTAATGACACGAGCATGTAATTCCTCTTTCTTGACTTGGGTCTATGGCAGAGAATTAGATTGAGTAGGAAGCATCTAACGTTCATGAAATTGATTTTCGTGATGCATGATGATCGATGTGGTGGGGAGAATGAGTATGCTGGACTCACCGGTTTATTATTGCAGTCTTATAATTACCAAATACAGGTCTGCATTGCTCTCGGTCTCTTGGAAAAAGAAAGTGATGGGGGTTAGCAAAGTTGATGAAATTCTTTTGGTCGGCATTTGTCAAATCCTTTACTAGATTTCATTGAATTAGCGAGCGTTTGGAGTATTGTTAACATAAAAAAGGAATATGGGAATAGAACAGGGATCAAACAGCAAATATCATCCTTGGGGAGTATCAGCTTTCCGAGGCAGGCATTGGTAAAGATGCTTTCGCACAAGAGGAGGATTGAATCAGGAAGGTGCGGGTACTTTGTACGCAGACCACATTCTAATTGAACAGTCTCTTGGCAAAGCAATGGAAAGCTCATCAGTTGGCCATGGAGGAAGGGAGACAATGTGCATGTCGTATTCTGTGCGTCCATTGACGTCCCCACAGCAATGAAAACAGCAAAGCTCATGTCATGTTTGTGCAATGATGAGGCCTACATATAAACCGTAGCCCCTTGTTTTGCCGTCAATGCCAAATGGAAAGATTCTAGCCTAGACTTCCTTTATGAAGCCTGGTCGTCTTGGCCGAAATCGGTCCACTTTTATTTGGATGGGTCAGTCTTAAAAATTTAGAAGCACCGTGGACAGAAAATGACGCGGCGAACATAATTTCTAATTACAACTTCTCAATAAATTGCTTCTCAGGTAGCAAGATGTCATTTTGACCAGATAATTAGGTATCACGGATGCATGATCATCACGAGACGATCGGGACATCTGAGTAATAGTACCTGTCACATGATCGAAGTTGTGACCTGTCCCGTCGAATTATACATGAATGAAAATAGGATCATTTTTCACGTGTTTATGGACTCCTTGAAAGCCCACAGTAACATGGTAGTAGATGGGGTAGGTGGCATGATTTTAGGCAGGGTGGTCAATGAAAATTGCTTAGGACTGTTGGGCGGGGGCACGTTTTAGCAAAGATCAATGGGGAGCGTCAGGTGGGCATGAAAGTTGACCTCACGTCTTGCAGGCCATTGTCCAGAATCAATTTGGGTAGGGCCAATCCTTTCTTTGCAAGTTATTCTCACTGGCGACATCCGCCCAATTTCACTATATGTCACGACGTGATGACGCCATTTTAATGTTTCTATTTGTATTCAAATTAGATTTGAACGATCACACCAAATGATAATATTGTATTAAGAAAGGCTAATTATTTGCTTTTAGTTATTATCAAATCATGGATAGAGATCATGGTGAAATCGAAACCTAGTTTCATTGGATAGTGTGCTTTTCTTCCCCAATGAGGAAACCGTGGTACTATGCATACAGTGATTGCCTTCAATTCCAGAGCAACATAGGATGTCGACGAAGTAGCATTTGGATATCGGTTTCAAACGTCTCCAATTAATGTGAAATTCGGTGATGATGTTGAGGTTATTAAAGTATAGAAGATACCTTTAATTTTTTTATCATCGTAGTACCTGGCACTCATTTTTTTGGCACGGGATTTTTTTGTTTTGCGAAAAAAGGGGTAGCTGTGTGAAAACTGATGTTAACAGTACCAAGGAATGATAAAGAGCAATAATGTAATATTCCCTGTCAAATTCCAAATGCTTCTTCTGTTCAAAATGATTCAATGGTTATGGTGCGCACTACATAGCTACTACTGTGCTTCTCATTTGGAAGCTGCGGGCTTTAAGCAGGTCAGGAGCCAGCCTAGATAACCATTTTCTTTGGCTTTATTACGTGTAGAATCACCAAAGCGAGCCAGCTTGTACACACACACACACATCACCAAGGGGCAGCCGAAAGGCTATCTATCTTTACCTCAATGATCTGTTTTAATTTTTAAATCTAACCTACAATGAATGAAGGCCTAGATCCCAGCAGCAATAACCTTTTGTGTATCGCGAAATCCAAAAAATCCTACTCTGAAAGCTAAAGAGATGCTATAAAATAGAATAAAATTGCTCTGCTCCCTCCAGCAGCAGCAGCTGCTTATAAGGGGACTCCAGTTCAAAGTACAATTATTGAATGCTAATTACTGCAGTATCAAGGTCAATATTAAACCCGTGTTTTAAATTACATAGACAACTGAATCCCCGTGCTTCACCACTATTATTGGGGGACCATTGTCCTTCTGCACACTCGCCTATGGACGCCCATTATTTGAATGCCTTTTATGCATTAACGTTATGGTGAATCATTTGCCTCTGCCTGCTATTTCGTAGCTTACTTACCATGTTGAAGGCAACAGCAGTTCTCAAGTCATTATCAGAATTCTATGCACAAACTTTATAATGCCAGATCATTTATTCATATCAGAGGTTAATCATTCAGGCATGCATGGACTTGAGGGTTATACTGACACAAAAATACTAAGCTTTTATTTTTATACGCTAAAATTTCCGACAGAGATGCTAAGCTTTATGAAGTCAGAGGGTGAAGGGTATTTTAATAGTTCCCAGGAAGCGTTTGTTGGGTGCATAAAGAGCTGCAAAAAAATATCAAAAAGCACAAATGGAATGAGTCAGTCCTAAGTCAGGAGTGTATGAGTGAGAGTTGTTGGAGTTTAGAATAATACTGAGAGTGTGAGGTCGAGTTGGGAGGCGTTTGGGAGGGAAGTGGCAGGATTGATACCAATAATTGGAGGGCGGAGGAGTTTAGTTTATTGGAGTTTATAATAAGGCACCAATGATGGAAGTGAATCTAGCGTGGCGACCTAAGTGTGCACGATTGAAAAAAGATGGGGGCATGAAGGGGTATTTTTCAAGGGTTTGGAAGCATACGGGGGCGTTGCCATCAAGAAACCCTCATGTCCTCTTCAAAACAAGCACTTTGAGTGGAATCCAACTCCTCATCAACCATATGTATAGGACTCAAAAAAAGTAGTGGTGGGTTTCATTTTCATGCACCTAACCCCTTTGAAAATAACCCATTAAACTAGAATACCCTCCCATGTCCTACACGGTTTCCGGATTCCAGCATTCCATTATATTTCCAGATTATGATACTCCTCTCAGATATTAGACTGAGGTGGGCTCTGTCAAATCTGAGCGCCCAATAGTTTAGAATAGCATCTCTGATTGTGAGCAATTGGAAGGCATGTTAGGATCGAGAATCCAGTATCAACCCTTTTAATTTTTGTGAGTGCTCCTAATTAATTAGTTTAACATGCCAGATCTATTCTTTCGGCTTTAACAGTCTTTAAATCTTAAATTTTAAAATCCGTGATCATGAAAGAATATGATTCAGATGGTAGTGGCGGCCTCTCCTTTCTGATTTGAAGGCTTATTAAATATAACACCACGCCTATGTCTCTTTTCAGCGCTTTGTCTGACAAACGGGGTGGAAGCCCTTGTAGGGAAGATGGGAGGTATTAGCTGCGTCGTACATCTCAATCCATTTAAATATCTTCAGTAGTAATTTAACTGATTTATCACGCTTCCAAGCCACTTGACTTGACCATGTCCATGTGGTACTAGGTAGTGGTTCCCAATTATTATGTGCCTTTTTTTTGTGGGGGATCTTATAATAGAATAAGATAGAGGTTGTGGGGCTACCCCAACTAGAATGGAAGAGCAGGATCCCCAGTCAGCTTGACAAAGAGGAACAAAGAAACCCGTCAAAACAGAAACTTGAAGTTCATGATGACTACACAAGTGCCCATTTATGGATCTTACCTTCATTTTGTGCCCATGCTTCTTTCCTATCTGAAACTTGTGCCCCCCTTTTCTGTTGAACATAAAGGGACGCGAAAAGCCTAACAATTACACGGAATCATATACAGCAAAGTAAAGTTATACACTCATCATGCCACACCGGTACAGCAAATGTACGTTCTTAGCACCCACTTTTGACACCAGTTAAAAGAGAATTGGTTCTGAAATCGGCAGCGTTTTTATAGATAAATTGTCATGGTGTTGACTAAGGTCAAAAAATTTCAAGCTGAATAAACAAGATAAGCTTAGGCCTTTGAGTTCAAAGAACAAATATCATAACGTTTACCTCATTTTAATTTCATACTTGTTATATATTTAAAAATATAAATTTAGTTAGTTGCCAATTGCGCATGTTTCTTGACGTGTCTGTCTTTAAATAGCCTTTTTCGTGCATTTTTTCACTTAGCTTGCAATAGGCTACCAAATCAACCAGATTTAGTCTATTATTTATTGTGGGCAGGAGTAACTTAATTTCCTTTCGTTTTAATGCCCAACGAAGTATGTGAACAATAAATAAACAAATTAGAACTTCGTATCGTTTATGAGTCACAGCTTTATGGTTACAATATAATCATCCTTCTAAGGAATCAAATGAAGATGTTTTTATGGATATTGAATGATCAAGTCACCTACAATCTTAAAAACAAAATCCTTTTTTTTCAAATATTGATTTTTGGCATTGGTTCTAGAACCAGTGCAGAAGTGTTATACTTTCTATATCAATTAAATAAAAAGGTTTTGCAGATAAATTAGAATTTCATATTGATTTTGTTTTAAACAAAAGCTTCACTACATAGGAGACTACAAGGGTTTATAATTTACCAGTCACATGTACGGATTATTTGTAGGATCATTGCGGCACATGGCCAGTAATTAATGAGAGTTATTTTGGTTATTTTGTTTTTTTTTCTTGGGTATGCCTGAGCCAGCATTTCGTACCCAGCAATACCGTATAGAGTGGAGGGGAAGGAAACAGCCAAAAATAGATCAAGTGAAACAAGGTGAGGTCGAATGGAGACAATTTGGAGGGCTCTGTGAACTTTATTATCCACGCACACTTTGTAAATCTGGGTGGGAAAGAAAGAAAGATAGGCCTATCGAAATCCCTACCATTTCATTGGAGCTGAATCCTAAATTAGTACAATCATGCGACGCTTGCATCGTGCAGCCCTCAATGTTCTGTGAATATCTGTCGTGCCTGAGATCATGACCTGGGGCACGCAGAGTGTGCCTCTGGGTTAATATTTTTTTGTGGCCAAACCCTCTGGCGCAAGATTTAATTATATCAAACTTCGTCTCCTAATTTTCTTTATCCTTCTGCCAAACCGGATGGTCTCGCCGGTTGTCGAAAACTTTTGGTATAATTATAGAGACCAACCCCGGAATTCTGTTACCCTTGACCTTCTCTGATCTCTTTCTTCTCCAAGAGCTCAGTTTTTTATGCTGCAGAGGAGGAGGGACTCCAGTTGATTTAAAAAAAAAACAGGTTGTTGATATTATTACTAAATAAACATTTACATTTAATGCGCTTAGTTTTTGTCGATTAAAATCCCAATACTTAGTCGTTCTCTAATTCGAGCAAGTTCAGTTTAAGTGTACGTGTTTTGTCCCACTTAAATAATGACTTTTAATCAATACAACTCATGAAAAGCCAACATAAAACATAAGCAATAGAATAAAATAAAACTTGATCGACAGTGGCATAGCTTGTCCCGGATCTATCCTAAATTTAAAAGAGAGAGAGAGAGAGAGAGAGAGAGAGAGAGTAATGTCATTAAATATCTTAAACAGCAAAATTTGTAGTATGTGATATCATGTTTGTGAAGCAGCTTTTAAGGGGGGGCGGTGTTTGTGATTATCACTTTCAATCACAAATTGGCCACAGGTACGACAAGTACAATTCAGAGGGTGAGTTAATGTTGAAAGTTGAAACACTCGAGTGGCATTTTGAAATGGGCAAGTAGCATAAAACATCTCTCTGCTGTTCACTATACACATGCGCATGCAAACGTGTGGACTGTGACGGAATAAAGACACCGTCCACAGAGAGAGAGAGAGAGAGAAAATCTATTTGACTTCCCTCACAAAGTCAAAATGATACTATTTGCTACTCTTGAAACATGAAAATGATACAATTTAAAGATACAATCCACCCTTCATCAAATTTCTGGGGGTGGTCGTCTCAGTTCCTTCACTGACCTCATTAACCTATCTACAATCTACAAGTCCCTACAAACTTTTTGTGGGATTGACCCTCCTTCTCTTCCATTCCACCAAACGCCGTAGAAACTGCTCAACTTCCGATGGATCTTGCAAAGTGTAGGAAGCCTCTGTTTCTCTTGGGACTTTAGAAACTAAAATCCCAATCCCCTGACCTCTGCTGCGTAAGACCTGAAAGTGACAATCTATAATGTTAGAACGAATTAAACCAGCAAGAATATGTGTGAAGTACATGCAATAGAGTCATCGGTATTTATTACCTTAAAAGCATCCTCGTCAGTTCGGTCATCACCAATATAAATCGGGAACACGTCTTTAGAATTCGCATATCCTAAAAATGAGTTAAATGATGACGGTTAGGGTTGACATAGCTCATTACAGAAAGCCCGTCAGTTCCTGACTTCCTGTGTTAAATTGCTTTGCGAACACTCACCTAGTGACCGCAACAAAAACTCAAGAGCTTTGCCCTTGTCCCACTTGATGTTTGGACGGATCTCCAGAACTTTTCTTCCTTGGGTAAGTCTAAGTTTTGGATAATTGTTGAGCACTGATCTTACTTGCTCTGCCAATGCAACCCAACTCTGAAAAACAGAGATGTTAGTGGTTTGGTAGAGTAACATTAAGCATGGACGAGTCAGCAATTTAATAGTTTTGTTGACCGGTACCTTCTCTTCCACACAACGGAAGTGCACGGACAAGCAAAACTTGTTATTCTCCACCATAGCCCCCGGAACAGACTTTGTTTTTTCTACCAAGATTTTAAACACCTGGAAAAATAAAAATGACAAGGGCAAGGTTAATGTTTAATTTTGCATTGCTTGCCAGTTCGGAGGGATGGAGGGTTTTTGAGGTAGAAAGAGGCAAACCTCGTCGATCATGGGCAAGAACTGGCTCGCAGGTTGGAAGAGGACTGCTCGTTTGCCCTGAAACAAACGTAAGAAAATCAGAAACTAAGCACACAGAACAGAAACATGGCGTTTATCAGGGCTGGTTGCAGAAGCTCTCTTACTTTCTCAGAGTTTCGCGTCTTCGTTGGCCCCTTGATGTCCATGCCATGGCTGCCTGCATAGTACAGTTCTGCTAGTCTTACAAAGTTATACACCTGCGACCAAAAAAAAAAAAAAAAGAAACATTTAATTATTAGGGGGAAAATGCTATATATGCCACGATAACCATTACTCTGTTGTTACGCGTTTTTTGGCTGTCAAGAAAAATGCACCTTGTCTATGCACCTCCCAGTCACGATGGCTGTGGGAAAATGTCTGGCAATGTCCTTCACCGTTTCTCTCATCTGATTCAAAGCAAGAACGTCAAGTTACTTAGTTAAGAATACGTTCGATCAGTACGAGTTTTGCAGAGCTGGTAAGACCAAGAAGAAAACCTTTTCGGTCATGAATGCTTTCTCGGGGTCTGCAACAATCGGGGAGAGAGTTCCATCGTAGTCAAGAAAGGTTATGATCTTCTTTCCTCTTGACTTATATATTATCTGATCAAACACGTTGAGCGCTGAAGGATGATGAAGCTGCATATTGAAACAGTTCAGAAACAGGGTAGAATAAAAGCCGAACGAAAGGTGAAGCAAAGGGTCATATGCTTACAATCCCAGAACTTATGTCTGAGTTTTCACAAGCATGGACGGTGGATTTGACTCTGGGCGGAGAAGAAGCTCTCATTGAATCGACCCAGGAGGTGACCTTAGCTCCTCCTTTGCCTTCTCCGTCCTTGAGCCTTTTCATGAGCTTTTTCTGGGATGTCCCCAGAAACTGACGAAGCACAGCCATGGATTCGGGGACCCCTGCTCCGGGCAACATAGGTGAATTCGAAATCGACATCAACACCGCAATAACGGTATTCATTTGTGATTTCAAATCAGGGGCCATCACATTCTGGTTGGTCATCAGCTTTTGATATGAACCACGCAGAGCTCACGCAGGTTATAGAATTATAGGAGCGAGGAAGGGCGGGAGAAATAGGGAAAGAGGAGAAGAGAGATGGGTATGGAAGTGTGGAGGGGTGTGGCTGCTTTATAGGAAGAAATCAGCTCACAGGCAAGCAGGGGAGGGGTGTACTTTCTGAGGGAATATCACTTATTTTCTGAGAGTATTTGTACTTTTTGAGTTTTGAGCAACCTTATGCTCAACATAAAAGTGGAGGGACCACTATGAGGCTTCTTAAATTTCTTGTTCATCTCTCCCCTGGGCACAAGTGTATATGTGCTCAATTATGGGGTGCCTTTTTTTCTGTAAAATTATAGGACTCCATTTTTTTAACGTAAAAAACTACTTAAAGTAATTTCAATGGATTAAAAAAATTACTTAATTCTAATAAATATAATATTATCTCTTTAAAATATTTTATGCAATATTATATTATCTATTAATTTATAAGCTAAATAAATTAATTTAAAAAAATGATGAATTTGATAAATAAAATAGATTAACAGCTTACATCTACAGTTAAAATTAACTTTTAACTAGGTAATAACGTTTGCAGGATATTTCGATATCCTATGCTTCCATTTGCTCTGTCCTTTCAACTCATACAGGCTACAGCAGTATTTTACCCTCCGTAGAAAGAGAATCATAAAAATCAAATTTACTTGCATTAATCTGCTCTCCCGCTTCCTTAGCTTAGAATTGTTGAATTTTTTTCAGTGATATATACTTAATGCATTCGGTAAAGTTAAAATTACCAACCAGCGCATCATTTGCTTGCTCTGGCTCTCTTTAATTAGGAGGGATTATTTAATTAGAGGCTGAAACGACATCATAAAAATGATCACTCACAACATTAATGCTATCAGTTGGTTCATAAAGATAGCTGAACAAGTTAATAACTAATATATTTATATGTTTTTATGTGGCATGATCAGATTCAATTAATCAAAATTAATTAATAATTAATTACACTCAACTTTAATAAAAACGACATAAAGGATTTAATAATTGGAATGCTCTGCCCACATTTTATCACAACAAAGATATTGAACAGAAGCTTTCCTCAAACATTTGGCTCACCTGAAAAGGACAATACCATAACAACCATGCTGAACTCGTATAACGAAGGTTAACTACGTTATTCGTGTTCCTGTTTGCCTTTAAAGTGAAAATTCTAACCTTGATCTGGTTCAAACCTCCAACTAACTAAAGATCAAAGGAAGTAATAAAAAAAGCATGCTCGTTGATCAATGTGTGTGCGAGAATATAAAATTCTGACCGGAGAAGGGTGCTTTGATTATATATATAAATGTGTGTGGTAATAATTTAGAAATGAGAATATAGACCTTAGAGGCTAAGAAACGAGTCCAATTAAGCATAAGGGATGAATATATGAAGGACACAAACCGCCCCTTGTATAGTTTTTAAGAAACAAGCAGCTCCGAACCTAACTTGTATTCTGAATTTGGCCGATGCCTTCAAAACCAGCGGCATTCCTTCTTCCCTTTTTATTCCCTTCTCCTCTCTCTCTCTCCCCCTCCAAGTTTTCATGTGCTCGTGCTTGTTACTTCTATTACCTTCTAAAGTTAATTAACTCATAGATTCCTCCTCCCCCTCCTCCTCCTCCTCCCACTTTATTAGTTCCACTGCTGAATAACACTATATTCATTCCCAATTATTGTATCCCATCTTTCTTTTCGTTTGACAGTATCAGATCTTACCGGTTTTCCTTATTCAAGACACGTATTCATAGTATTCACGTTACGCGTGTAAAGGAATGTATACTTATATATGTATCAAATGTGTTTTGTATTTGCATGCGCATATACCATATTCTGATACAGAGAATATAGCCAATTAAGTTGCCTGATACAGTTCAATTAAATATTAAACGCGTATATACGCTGCCAAACTTCAGCATGCGAACATATGAATGCCTTACACACCAACCTCTAGTTTGCTGTCATGATCATTTCTCTGCAGGCATATATTTTTTTAACAGAAAATTCGAATAAAAGAAATGGGAAAGTCTAAAAGTCGTGTGGGGCTGAGGAATACACCTATAAACGTTGAGAAAAATCGCTTGCTTGGTTTGAAATTGTGTAGCTTCCTTCTGCGGAAGGGTGAATCCGAGAGGTATTGCTTGATTCCCCCACTACTTACTTTTCATCATCAGGTCCAGGCATGCAGTGTTTCAAACGGTGACGCTTTATCCGCGACGTACGTAGATCCATTCATTTTAATTATTGATTCTTTCATATATATAACCCATGGGTATCAAATTGCATCTAGAGATTGATAAATGGAAGTCGCAACATGTGCTTGAAAATTCCCACATCTCCCATCCTAAATGTAAAAGTTAGTTAATAAATTAATTATTTATAACAAATATGTGTTGAATTTTCTAACTCATTCTCATTAACTACTCCTTGTTAGGAACATCCTACATTCAATATGGATATTTGTATAAGAATTGTAAATTTACGAGGCAAAATAAATTGAAGTTTTATATTTAAAATTAAAACTATCTTTTTAATTAGTTTCTATATTAAAGACGTGATGTAATATTAAATAAACTAACATTAAAAATGGTATTAAAAAAATTGCACGGTAACAATGCTGTTATTACGGTGAAAAGTTTTAAACCAAAAAAAAAGGGGGGGGGGGGACTCATAAAAGAACCACCAGCAACTGGAACCTAACGTTTCCTAACTCTGACTCGGTTTGTCAAAAGAAAAGTCTCACGAATAAAGTGCGAAGGGAATAAGTTAACCGACCCTTGTCTTTTTATCCCTCGTTTTTTTCTTCAGATTTTCAACATCCAGCCATTGTGATTCTCTTGCTTAATCAGAACCTTAAAACTAAATAAGGCTTCATATTCTTTTTTGCCACCCAGCTCTAATAATAATAACAACAGTGATTCGGCACGTGTTTAATTGATCCTCTAAAACCACTCCCTCTGGCTAGTCTTTATCATAAGGCATTTCCACACTTCATTAAAATCAAAAAGAGGATTAAATATCCTTGAAAATGGAAGAAATTTGCAAATTTATGCTTTATTTAAAATCATGAATTACCTCCTAAGAGGGAGGGAAAAAATAAAAGAAAAATTGCATCAAATTTCAAATAGGAGTACTATTAAGAAAAATGTAATTTGTTAGCAGCGCTGCACCTGATGAATTATAATAAGAACCACTCATTTTCCCCCCTAAAAAGTGCCTAATAATAAGAACGCAGTGCGTATATCTTTTCAAGCTTCCACAGACATACATGTTATACACACACGCGCGGCCCCTTTTGAGCACATTCAAAAAGGTTCCATATATATTTCCCACAAACAAAATTCACTCTCCATTATTGACACCAAAACCAGAGTCCTCAAAGCTAACTCATTGGCGTGAAGTTTCGGTAGCTTTGGGTTTCCATTTCCAAGCAGTTAATTAGCAAGTTGGGGAAAAAATATTCAATTTTTTAAGCAGTTAATTGGCAAGTTGATAGAGGATAAGATGCACCCAGAAAAATTAAAAAGATACAGGGGCTTGATATGTGCCCGCGGTGGATACACACACATCTGACCAAGGGTGGTTTTGGGGGCGGAATTGAAGAGAGCATAACGAGCTTGAAAAATACTCCGGTTCTCAATATAAAATTCAATTTATTAATTTAATAAGATTAAAAAAGTTATTAAATACTTAATACTATATATATAGCATATATTACATGATCTTTCTGCAATACTTTTGTGTTTTATTAATTAGATTATACATTAACTTATAAGTGAGACAAATTAGTTTTAAAAAAATAATAAATATGAATAATTTAAAATAAAATAATTTAGTAACTTTTTTAACCTACCTAAAGTAATTAACTGAGTCTTATATTAAAAATGAGATGCAATAAAAAAAAATAGAAGACTTTGTGTTATGTGGACTAAACTGCCATAACTGCTTTGTGATAATTAAGGGAGGAGGGCGAAGCGTGGGCAGTATTTGGAACCAAATATTTGTCGCTGTTGTTAACGAATCAGGAGAAAGTCAAATAATCTGACTAAGCAAGCTTCCGCCCCACAAAAAAATACTACTATGATCTATTATTAGCAGCACCATAATCAAGAAACGACAACTGGTAAAAAAAAAAAGAAGAAGAAACGACAAGAGCGTTTAATTAACATATAACAGCTAGCTTTGGCTTTGCCGTGGTTTCCCCCCCGGCTGGCTCACCAGTCTCCCTCCCCTTCTCCTGTCCAAAATTTCCCAGCTGTCCTTGTCCCTCGTTATTGCGCTTGAGGGAGCCCCCATCATAGTGACATTGATTGACGGGTTGCTGTGGGGCCCCAAAAGTGGATGCTGCCACGTGGATGCATCGTGGCCTGCTTGCAATTGGGCCACTTCCGGTTCGGGGATTCGATTGGGTGGCCAAGTTGGACTTAATTTTTCGCATTATGAGGCACGGTTACAGAGAGATTCTGAAGAAAGGAGGAGGTGCCCGGGTGGTGGCTCTGCATCGAAGAATCATACTTCTCCCCATTATTCGCTCTTCGTTTACCACGGATGTCGTCCCTCAGCCTACGCCACCAACATCATATGCCCAATGCCCACTCATTCGCAGCACCTTCACTTAAAATATTACCCCTTCCCTTCCTACTCCAATTCTACTCCTTCATCCAATATTATCGGATCAATTTCCTGCATTATTGTTGTTAGATTTAATTTATCTGGGAGTAAATCTCCTTACATGATTATCTCCATCCCCAGGATACCTAATAAGATTCTGCTGAATTTTTCATTATAAAATCTCTGTAATTACCTTGCATATCTAGAGAGAGAACAGTTGGATGTCAAATTTAATACTACCTTCATTCTTAATTACAAGACCTCGTTTGTAAACTACAAATAAGATCTTATAATTAGAATCGGAGGTGGTGGTGGTAGTGGTAGTACTAGCACCCTTTTATCCTTTCCCTTTCTTTTTTTTGGCGTGTAACATCAAGGAGAGGTTAAAATTCCGGACACTAACCGTAGCACGCCCGGCGGCTTGCAGCTCTTGCACTCTTATTTCATCCCTAGT